GATGGGGGGAGCTGAAGCATGCTGAGTAGGAAGGAGGCACTCCGTGAATGAGTGAGTGTCACTCAGCTGGGGGAAGGGCAGGTGGACGGCTTGAAGGGTAAATAGATGGGTTGCCATATGAGGTCACAGGATGGAGGAATGATTGGGTCAACTGACAGGTAGGGTTGGGAAGGAAAGTGGGCAATTACTGAGAAAGTGAGGCTGGCTGGATAGTTCAGTGGGTTGATGCATAAGGTTGGTGCAGACAGGATGGGAGAGCAGGGGAAGGAGGGAGAAGCCTGAGTGATCATGTGTGAAGACAGATGGATGCAAGGCTGGGTGGCTATTAGGAGGAGTTGAAGAGAATGTGGGAGGATGGATTGAGTATAAGTTTGGACGGAGGATGGATGGATGAGTGGATGGAGGATGGATGGATGGAGGATGGATAGACGAAGGGTGGACAGATGGAGGATGGATGGATAAATGGATGGAGGATGGATAGATGGAGGGTGGATGGATGAATGGATGGAGGATGGATAGATGGAGGATGGATGGATGAAGGATGGATGGATGAAGGGATGAAGGATGGATAGATGGAGGGTGGATGGATGAATGGATGGAGGATGGATGGATAAATGGATGGAGGATGGATGGATGGTTTGGATGGATGGACAGATGGAGGATGGATGGATGGATGGAGGATGGATAGATGAAGGACGGACAGATGGAGGATGGATAAGTAGATGGAAAATGGACAGATGGAGGATGGGTGGATGAAGGGATGGAGGATGGATGGATGGAGGATGGATGGATGGAGGATGGATGGATGAAGGATGGATGGATGAAGGGATGAAGGATGGATAGATGGAGGGTGGATGGATGAATGGATGGAGGATGGATGGATGAATGGATGGAGGATGGATGGATGGTTTGGATGGATGGACAGATGGAGGATGGATGGATGGATGGAAGATGAGTGAATGGAAGAATGATGAATGAATGGAGAATGTGAAAGATGAATGCATGACACAGACATTCAGAAAGGAGTGGGCGAGTGTGTACACCCAAAACCCAGTGCAAAACCCACACACCTGTTCTTTCTCATTGTCCTGTCGCTGGGAGGTCTCACAGCCTCCTGGGCTCACATCTAGCAGCTGCTGTGTCCTAGCCACACCTGTTCCTCCTCTCCCACCCCCATTCCCAACTCACATGCTCTCCCACCTGGACCACCACACAGGACTTGAACCCTCTGCCTCTAGGCCTGTCTTGTCCCCTTCCCCTACACTGGCTGCAGATTTCATGGCACTGATCGCATCCCTCTCTTCCATGTCTCCCACAGATGAGAGCCCAGCCCCTCGCGAGGTTTCTAAAACCCTCACTGCACTGCCTCAGACGCTATTCCAGGACTGTCTTCCATTTCCCAGCGAGGACAGGAGCCTTGCCCACCCCGCAGGCTGCTACGCCTATGTGTCTCAGTTTATGCTCCTTCCCCGCCTGAAACACCTTTCCCCTCGCCATCCTCCAAGGCCCAGTGAAAATGCTGCCTCCTCCTAGAAGTCTCCCAGCCTCACCCCAAACTGGAAATCAAGTATTCCTTTTCTGAAACGCTGTGGTCTTCTTCCATCTCATCATGTGCCCTCCGTCTACCCACCCATTCGACCAACAGGTCTTGACCCATCTGTTGGCCAGCTCTGCCTTGGGCACAGGTCGGCGGGGGTGAGCAGATGTGGCTGGGGCAGGACTGCCTCTGGAGGCTTTGCAGAGGAGAGACGCAGATCTCACAAAAGCTCTCCAGGCAGAGAATGTGCATATGCAAACCAGGCTGTGCACATTGCTCATGTCACATTTGCCAAGTGACCAGCGCAGGGAACTGCTGAGGCCAGAAGGGTTAAAAATGGGGCTTGAATAGTGAGATGAGACACTTGGCCATCATTCAGCTGACCACGGGAGCCAGTGGCCATCAGCAGGCGGTTTGTGCAGGTGGCACGAGTGGAGAATTGACTTTTTGTATCTCTGCCTCCCCTGGATACCAGGCTGTGCAAAATAAGGCTTCAATCTCTGCCCTGCAGATCCAGCCTGCGTGGAGCTGAATTGGCCCATGTGGGTGGGGGTGGATGGATGGCTCCATGGGTGGATGGGCACGTGAGGGCAGGCAAGGACACAGTGTTTATTTCACGCCACTGCATGACGGCCTTCGCCCAGCTCACATGAGTTGGTTTGAATGTTGTTTTGTTTCTATTTGTTTTGTGAACAGATGAGGGAACAGGGGCTCAGAGGGGCAAGATGGCTTGTCTGTCCCAAGAGCTCAGATTTTTCTGACCCCGCGTCGGCCCCATGACCTTGGTGTAGGGTGCTGGTCAGGAGACCTGCAGCTGGGTGACCAGATAGACGTATTCTCAGGCGTGGGCTCCACAGCCAGCCAGTCAGTTCCATCCTCCCTTCTGCCCAGGATGGAGGCAGCTCACCTTGTAACCACTCCCAGGTATGCCCCAAGAACTCTCTGCACTTGCTGCCCCCGCCCCCGGCAGGAAGGACACACAAGGAGCAGCCCCAGGAGAAGGTGTAATGAGCAGTCCCTGCCCCTCAGAAGAGTCAACCTCACAGCACCCCCAACCCCTGCAGAAACCCCTGACCTACCTACAACCCGAGCCAGATGGGCCTGCCCCATGCCAACCGGCCAGCCACAGCCTGAGCCAAGGAGGAGGAGGGACGGCTTCCGGACGGGAGTCCAGGCAGCCAGACCCATGTCCGCAGGCTGCTGGCAGGGCACAGAGAGAGGAGGCAGAGCTCCACCAACTGCGGCTTCAGCCCCCCAGCAATGGCGCTCTCTGCTCAGGATTGTTCTGGGGAGCCAGAGCTGGAGCTGGTCAGAGGCATGACCCCTAGTTTCAGGGGCCCCTTCCTTTGTTGCTTCTCCACAGGCAAGCGTGCATGCATGTGTGCATGCAGGAACATACACTCACCATACACATGCTCTCACACACTTGTACACACACATTTACACACACCATACACACTCATGTGGGATTACACACACATGCACAATCAGGTACATGCACCACACACATCCTCACTGTGCACACACATTTACACATAGCACGCACACTCATGCAATTACACACACGCACACGGAGATACACTCACACCACACATGCACACACATTTACACACAGCATGCACACGAGATTACACACATGCAAACTCAGGTACATACACCACATGCACACACATCCCCACATACTTGTGCACACACATTTATGTCAGGCACGCTCATGTGATTGCACACACATGCACAAACAACTACATACACACACCACACATGAACACACACTTGTGCACACACATTTACACACATACACACTTGTGCAGTTACACACACATGCAGAAAGGTACACATCACACATGCCCTCACACATTTGTGCACACATTTACACACACCATGCACACTCAAGTGTGGTTACACACATGCACAAAGGTACACATCACACATGCCCTCACACTTGTGCACACACATTTACACATACCATGCACACTCACGTGTGATTACACACATGCACACACACGCAGGTACATACACACACACCACAGATGCACACATACTGTGCACACATTTGCACAAACCATGCACACTCAAGTGTGACTGCACACATGCACGTGTGCACACACATGCAAATACATTCATGCCTACACACATTCATACACATGCACACATATGCACAAAATATACGTACACACTCATGCACACCGTGCATTCACATGCACACACAGTTACACTCAGTACATGCCCATTTATGCAATTTCACCCTCGCGAGTACATGCACACTGGCACATGCCCACACACAGGCCCCTGTGGTAGAGCCTAGGATGGGTCCTCAGGCCTGAGGGGAGGAAGGCACGTGCCAGTGGGCAGCGCTGGGTCTAGCAATGATGATGAGTCAGGAGCAGGACAGGATAGCTGGGGCCGGTTGCGATGCCAGGTGGGGTGGGGCTGAGCTCAAGGATGGAGCAGAAGTGAAGCTGGCCAGGCATCCTTCCTCCCAGCCAGCCTCTGCCCAGCCTCTGCCCTCCCCCACATCCCCCTTCTTCTCCCCCACCCTGCAGGGCAGCTGCATCAGTGGAGTACATCTGGCCTTGGCCACTCAAGTCTGGGCTGGGGAAATGTGATGATCGGGCTAAACGTGAGCCAAGCCCTTCCATCCGGTGCGTCAGGGTGGGGAGGAGGGCACCAGCCTGCCCTCCCCTTCATGCTCCCTCCCCCAGGAGGGCTCCAGCACTGGACACACTTCCGCGGGGCTGCCCCTCAGTGTGAGCCCATCTCGGCTTCCCTCCCACCATCTCAGTCCCCTTCGCTCCACCTGCCCTCGGCAGGACAGGGTCACGTCTTCCCAGCACCTGCTCTGCTCCCAGCCAGCTATTCTCGCAGCACAGAGGGGCTTCTGGAAGCCATACCCTCTCAGGGTGGGGGCTGGGGAGGTGAGGGATACAGTTGACACCTCCTTCCCTGGGCCGCCCTGGCCACCCAGCACTGGCTTCCATGGAGGGCTGGGCTGAGCTGCCTAAGTACCCACCCTTGGGGTCTCGGGTGAGGAGCTGGATAAGAAGGTGGCCTCCCTTTCTGCAGGGGGAGGACTCCAAGCCCTCTTCAGCCCTATGCTGGCCCCATCCCTGTACGCCAAGGGGTGGCTGCTGTCCAGGTCTGTTCCATGTCCCCTAAGCCGGAATCCCTATCCACTCCCCCTACAGGTTCCGCCGGGCTGGCTGAGCAGGAAGCTAGGCCCTAATGGCTCAGGAGAGGGAAGGGCAGACCCCTGCCTTCCCAAACGTAGCCAGCACTCCCACCTCTCTGAGCCGCACTATCAGGACCCGTCACTGTCCTTTGATCCCTCAGCCCCTCAACTGCTCCTGCTCTACCCATGGGCTCCTCTGAGAGAGAGAGGGGTCAAGCACCCCCAGCCAGGGACTGACCTGTCACCCCACCTCTCCAGCCCACCCTCGCCCCTGCCGCCGCCGCCCAGGCTCACTTTGAGAGAGTAGGCCAAGGCGATGAAGCCCAGGCAGCAGAAGTTGAGGTAGACGAAGTTGAAGATGGACCACAGGTAATAGTCGTTCACCTCGGTGGTGTCCGGGTAGACGTCGATGATGGTCGTGGGGTTGGTCATCGTCTTCTTCTCGGCGAGGTGCTTGCAGGCCGCGGGGGCGCCGGCAGCCCGAACGCTGTCGGCCTTGCTGCTCTTGGACTCCATGGGGAACAGTGTGGGCGCCATCGGGGGAGAGGCAGAGGGCTCAGGGGCAGGGGCCGCTGGAGCCTGCAGGGCAGGGGGCTTGGACACGCAAGCGAAGCAGCCCTTGGGCGAACCTGCCGGGGGCCTCGGGATCCAGAAGGCCCCGTCCAGGGGGACTCGGGCTTCCTGGGCGCCGTCCGTGGTGCTGGCCGGGGCTCCCAGCGGGGCTGGGCACTGGCCGGGGCCCTGGGCCTGGAGGGAAGGAGAGAGTGAGAACGAGCTGGGCCTGGCCCACCGGCCAGCACCTACCCTCACGCCTGGCAGCCCCGAGAACAGCCCCAGTGGAGACGGAAATCCCTGCGGGGGCCGCCAGCTGCCAGCCTGCCACCTGCCTCCCCCACCCGCCCCGGGCAGCGGCGGCCACTGACGATGCCAAAGCCCATCGCAGCAGCCTTGGCAGGGACCTGGGGCTTTCATTCCTTTGCCATCTGCGCACAAACACTCACCCACTGACACGCACACCAGCACCCCCCCTCAGAAGCACACCGACGCTGGGACTGACACTTGCAAAACACAGCGCGCGCCCTGGTACCCCAAACAGCCCCGCACGGGCGAGCGGCTGACCCACAGCGCGGCTGCTTCGGCCGCCAACCGGCAGAGCGAGCAGCGAGGCCAAAGCACCTGCACACGGCGCCCGCGGACACCTGATCCCGCCACCCGCTCCACCGCGGGCTCTCCAGACCCCGGGGGCACCCGCGGGCGCTCAGAGCCGCCGCTGCCGAGTAAACAATTCCCCACGCAGGGCGACGCCGGCTTAGCCACAAGCGCCGAGAGCCGGCACAGGTGCGGGGTCTCCCACTGGCGCGCACTGTCCCCCACCTCCAACCCGTGGACCCCGAGCGCGACACTCGCCTGGAGCCACGCGCCACCGGGCCACAAACAGACACCCCGTTCTCCAACGAGGCACCCAGTCGCCCGCGCCCCGCGCCACCCGCTTGCCAAGCGCCCATGCGGCGCGCGCCTGGGGGTCTGCGGCCAAGGCTCTGCGGCCCCCAGCCCGACCTAGGTCTGCCGCAGCCGCCCGGACGGCGCCTCCTCACCTACAGGCGACTCCTCGGCAGGCGGGCTGCCGGACCTCTGCGCCTCGGTTCGCGTCCTTCCGCCGTCCCGCGGGCTGCTGTCTGTCCACGGATCCGGGTCCCAGCGGCCCAACCTTGAGGGGGTGGGGAGCGCGCGGGGCTCGGCGGCGGCGCCGCTGCCTCCTCCGCCGCCTGCGCTCCCTCCGCAGCGCCAGGCCGGCCGCGCGGCTGCAGCCCAGAGCCTGACTCACGGCGGTGGCGGCGGCGGCGGCAGCGGCGGCGGCGGCGGGCGCAGCCACCTCCCCGCCTCCCGTCTCCTACTGCTGGGAGGGTGGGGGCCGCAGGACCGGAAGCCGCGACCCTGGGGAGTTACAAGGTGCCTCAGGGATGAGACCCCTACAGCGCCCGACCAGGGTGCCCACTCCACCTCCATCTCCCCGGACCCAGTGAGCCTTCCTCCCCTCCCCACCCGACCCTATCCCTTTAGTGTATACCCCAGCGCCGTGGAAGATGGGCCGCTCCCTGAACCATCCCCATCTGCCTCCCCAAGAGAGACCCCTTCCTCTCCCCGGTCTCCCCATCGCGCTCCACCCCAGCGCCAGGGCCCTGCTGCCTCCCAAGCCCCCTTGGCTCTCAGTGCTGGCAGCTCAGTCCCCTCCTTAACCCAGTGCCCTGAGCCCCAGCAGGCCCCCTACCTGAGTGCCCGTCTCTGCCCAGTCCTGTCCCCAAGGTCCCCAGGGCCACCCTCCAGTCCCTTCCCTCCTTAGTCTACCGAGTCCAGGCCCTCTGTGAAGTTTCAGGGTCTCCTACTCTGTTCCTTCCTTGCTGAGCCCACTACTGCCCGCTGGAGCTCCTGTCCCCTTTCCTGGAGTCTGACTTCACCCAGCTGGGGGCCCACTCTAGGTCACTCCCAGATTTCAGGGAGCATGTGATCTCTCCTGTACAGACCGCAGCATGCTCCCTCTGCCTGTAGGGCAAGGCGTCCCGTTTCGAACTCTGGTCCCTGTGCTGCTGAGATCCTCATCTCCCTGGAGATTGGTGCACTCACCTGCCCACAGCCTCTGCGATCCTGGCCAGCCCTGTGGGCCCCGTCCCCTGAGGATGCTTTGCCCCCCGCAAATCATGTCTCCTACTAATGCCTGGGCTCCCAGCCTCAGCTGCCTCGGCTTCCCCACCATGTCCTCACTCTCTCAGTACGCTTGACCCCAGCTGATCTTCCATCCCCGTAACAGTCCCCAAGAGTCCCTCCCCATAGAGAAAACCCCAGCCTTCCCTTTCTCCCTACAGGCTCCCCACTTCACCACACAGGTGCCCTGAGCTGGGTCCTCTTCACCAACCTCCGGTTTCTACTGAACTCTGACCCTCTCCAAAGTCCCCTGAAGCTGAGGATGCACGGTGACCCCCATTCCCTCCCTCATCTCTCCACAAGCTCCTTCCTCCTATGAAACTCCCTTCTCCTCTGCCACTCTGGATCGGCCTCCTGTGTCCCCGAGACCCGTTTTCCTGATTGGAAGCCTGGTCCTGCTCCTGTCTGCTCACCTGTGCCTGAACCCCAGCTCATCTCTGAACCCTTTCTCTCCCCAAACCTCTGTGCTCTGAGCCCTGAGCCCTTCTCTGAACCCTGATCCCCTGGAAGATCCTGGCCTTCTGCAAGCCCCTCCCTTTTCCAGCCTAGTCCCCACCCCTCGTGCCTGGGCGGACCCCTGGCAAAGCATTCTCCATGGCATGCCAGGAACCCACAGCACAAGACTGATCTTAAATGATGATAAACCCTATCGAGCAGGAGGGATCCCCAGGCATGAGCGAGCCTCCTCCCTGTCTCCTTGGGCACCCCAGCCATGCCCTCCCAGGAGCCCACAGGCCATGGGTAGATAGGGACTGCCAGGGAAGCAGGGTTCCCTTCTCCCTCCCCAGCTCCTCTGCCTCCTGCCCAAGGACCTGGCCCAGGGAAACCTGGACCTAGCATGTTCAAGTTGGGCTTCCCCTGGGGGCCTCCCAGGGTATGTGTGGCCTGCATGCCATGCCCTGGTGTCCCCAGCATCTGAGCTGGGCCTGCCCGGCCAGCCACCACCTTCTGGGAGACCCTGGCCGGCAACAGAGCCTCGGCCCAGTGCTGCCCCAGTCTCCCCTGGGGGCCTCAGGCAGTGAGGAGGACTCAATAGCAGGAGAGGGTTGCTGGGCCCAAGGAACCAGGACCTGCCCCAGGTCACTGGATAGGTGAGAGGGGAGCCAGGGCCCACTCCTGGCCTCAGGCCACCTTGGAGCTGCCTCCCTCCGGAAGCCAGGCAACACTGCTGAGAGGGAGCCGGGGGTGCAGGGCAGAGCCAGGGCCCAGCCAGCATTCACATGACTGTGCTGGGCTCCGCAAGGGCCTGGGATCCCTCTGCTAGGGGTGTCTGGTACAACTCAGTCTAGACAGGGGGAACTCTAGGCTCAGGGTCCAGTCACCCAGCTAGAAAACCACAGAGGAGCCTGGACTTGAGCCTGAGGTCAGACCCCAGGGGCTCCGAGAATCCTGCCTGGCCAGAGGGAACCCTTGGAGCAACCCCAGGACAGCAGCGTGGAGATGGGAGCTAGAAGGAGCAGATCGGCTGTAGGGGAAGGGAGGTGGGGGGGAGCAGGACGGGGCAGGGGCAGCAGGGCACAGCTGACTCCTCAAACACTCTGCCCTCCTGGGCCTCTCAGTGCACAGAGCATCTGATGACAGGACATTTGTCTCCCCAGAAGCGCTGCCAGGCCCTGCAGAACTCTGCCTAGCTCTGCTCAGGTTTCAGACCTGCAGAACGCTGGGCATGTACTTCCAAGCCTCTGTGCCACCCTGGGTAAACGTTCTTGCTCCAGGGATCCACCCCCAAATGGCGCTAGGGTACAAGCCCTGAAGCCCCTGGGGAGGAAGGCCAGGGTAGCCGCCTCCCTCAGGCTGAGGCATCAGGATAGAAAATGTCACATTTGCCTCACCTTCTAACCTGTTGGGGTGGGGCTTGAGGGTCCAGGTGACTCCAGAGCTCCTGATCCCAAAGAACTCTGCTCCCTACCACCACGTGCCCACAAACTCCTACTTATCCCTTAAAACCCCATGGGCTGCTGCCACCGCATCCGAGGACATGCTCCCAACCCCTCCCCTCCCAGTGGAACAAGTGCGCCATGTTCATCAGCCAGGGCATCCGTGGCTGCAGTAACTGTGAGTCCAATCCCTGAAACCAGTGACCCTGGGCAGGCCTGCTCCGCACCAGCTCGGCTCACCACACACAGGCAGCTACTAGGGCCTGGCAGGCAAGGCCTAGCTAGGCCAGATGGCCACGCCACCGAGGGCCCAAAGGGTACGGAGAGTGACCGGGAGGGCCTGCTCTGATGCTCCCCAGCGCAGAGACATCTTCTGTTAAAGAGGCACGGCTGCCCGGCTGGACCACCTCCCTGAAGTTACTCCTCCAGCCTGGCACTCATACTGGAAACCTTGTCGGCCCCACCCTGCAGGGCTGGCCAAGGCCACATCCTGCTGGCTACAGCTCCAGACCTGGGAACAAGTCGGTCCCCGCTAGCTGACCAGGCTGGACAGCTGGCCATAGCCCCAGAGCCCATGGGCAGCGGGCCACAGCCCAGGGCACCCCAAATGCTTGTCCCAGAGCTGCCCTCAGTCAGCCCTGATGTGGCGGCTACGCACTACCCACCCCCTTTCCCATCTCAAGCTGGAGCTGCCCCCCCACCGAGCACAGAGCACAGCAGCACAGAGGGAGGCCAACAGCTGTATTTCCAGGTCAGCCTGGGCTCTCGGCCGCCAAAGGGGAGGACAGCAGGGGTGAGCTGCAGAGGAAGGCAGGCGCCAGCCCCGTGTCCCGGCCTGACCTCCAGGCCACCGAACGGCCCTGGGACGGGCCGAGTCCCAGAACCACCCTGTACCCACCACAAGGTGGGCTGTCGCCTCTCACTCCTTCCAGCTCATCCTAGGCCTCCACTGGCCTCACCCTCAACGGAGCCGAAAACATTAGACAGGTAGGGGTGGCAGAGCCCGGCTGGGCCCAAGCTGGGCACAGGGGCCCTTGGGCAGGGCAGGTTTCCAAGGGAGGGTCGAGGAGGACGGCCTGGTGCAGGGTGGAGGCTCAGCCCAGCGGCCTCGGGTAGGGCTGAGGAGGGGACTCCCTGGACGAAGGGAGCCCCAGGACGTACACGCTCAGCTGCCGAGCTCGGCCGAGGACTTCCCGGTGCGTGAAACAGGTCTGTGCTCCGGAGCAGCTCCACCCCTCCAGACAGACGGACAGACAGACAGGCAGGCAGTGTTTCTGACCCAAGGGAGGGGAAGCCACAGAACAAACCAGGTCGGGCTTGGGCCACCAGTCTCCAGGACGCCCGGGCAACGGGCGGGCGAGTGTGTGTGTGTGAGAGAATGGGGGGAGCCGGGGGCCTCCTCCGTCTCTGTGCTGGCGGTTGGATGGCTCGGGAGCTAGACGCGGGTGGCCTGGGCGAAGCCCACCCTGTTGTTGTCTCGGTCAAACACAGTGTAGTAGCGGCCGATGAAGACGTCGCCCAGGATCCAGAGTGGCCCGCTGGGTGGCGGGATGTCCATGCCCATGAAGCCGCTCAGGCAGATGGTCTTCCCGGCCTGGGACACCTGGGATGGAGCTGGTGGTCAGCACCCAAGCCTGGCACCACTTGCAACCCGCCCTGGGCATCCAGGCCACGGGCACCCCCGCCTGTTGCCCACTCACCTGGAGTGTGCCCCCACAACTGCCCGCTCACCTGAAGCATGCACCCCCACTCTGCCCACTCACCTGGGGTGTCTCCCTGCTCCCGCCCACTCACCTGGGGTGTGCCTTCCCCCACTCTGCCAGCTCACCTGGGAAACGCCTTCCCCCCTCCACCCGCTCACCTGGGGTGTCTCCCCCTTCCACCCGCTCACCTGGGGTGTCTCCCCCTTCCACCCGCTCACCTGGGGTGTCTCCCCCTTCCACCCGCTCACCTGGGGTGTCTCCCCCTTCCACCCGCTCACCTGGGGTGTCTCCCCTCCCCCTGCTGCCCGCTCACCTGGGGCACGCCCCCATGGCCTGCCCACCTTGAGTGTGTAGTCCTCCGGGGACAGCTTGTAGTCTTTGCCTCCCAGCTTCAGTGTGATCGTGGGCAGGGTGGACACCTTCTCACAGGGGATCATGTACTGAGAGGGGCCAAGCAGTGTCAGGGTGGCAGTGGTGGCCGTGGGGCTCCACCCCACCAGCCCCAGCCCCAGTGCTCACCTCGCCCTGGATCAGCGGCACAGCCCCAATGGCCTTCTGCAGCTCGCGCACCTCGTCCACGGGGCCCACCATGAGGGACGTGCCCGTGTCCACAATGGCCTCACAGCCCCCCTTGCACAGGGTCAGCCCGCTGGCTACCTCCACCCTGCGGGGAGTCAAGGCGTGAGGCCCATGCCCAATGACAATGTGCACTGGGGGCCCAGTGCCC